CTATTTACCTCGATCCTTGGAACCCGGTGACTGGTTTGTAATCTATCCATCCATTAATACTCATGACTCATTGCCTTGAACTCATTGTGTTGTGGTTGTTGCAGAAATTGAAGTCAAGTTGCCATCATCATGCCTTGCATCCATTGAAGTCAAGTTGCTTTCACTGTGCCTTGAACCCATTAAAACCAAGTTGACTTCTCCATACCTGGAGTGTGGAGAGACATGGTTGCTTTCAATGGTTGTTGTACATTGTTCAGAATTCATTAGTTCACTTGCTGGTGCTCTTTGGAGAGGTCACTTATAACTGACTCTTATAACTACACTATCCATAGAGTGTAACCTGGGGAATGCTTATGGGGTTGTTTGTGTGAAATAACCATGCCTAACCATGGTTGTGATGTGTATGTACAGATGTGCTATAATATACAGGTATCTCTTCCCTTATGTCACCAGCACAAGTAGAAGAAAGAAAGAATTGCTCACAGTCTCTCACTTTCTTGAATTCATGGTGTCCCACTTTCTAGCCTGGTGCCTCAACAGTAGACCAAACTGGCTCATTTAACAGTTTTTAATGCAACAAAAAATCCCCACAGAATACATAATAAATGAATTTTAGAGTATGTTAAATTAAATGTTCAAAGGTATTAAAAACACATGGAATAAGGAACTGAAGTATCAATTACACACAAGTCAGGAAAGATTTTTGCATCTATAGGTCACATTTCCATAATATAAAATATATAATTAATTCAAATTCATATTTGTTATCCCCTGGACAATAATGCATATTTTCCAGTAGGAACTGAGAAGTTCATGCTGTTATTGTACTTATGGTGATCAAAATGTATCACTGCTCATGTGTTACTTTCCTGTGCTCTAGCGGCTCCTTTAAGACAGACATTAGTTTGCAAATTGATCGTGCTCTGGAAGGTCAGTGGTTATTGTAGATGCTCATGTTCTTTTCAATTATAGACTACAGTTTGAAACTTAGAGCAAGACAATGAAAATGGATATTTTCTGCTTCTATAATTAAAATCAAAAACTACAAGGTTGGAAAGAAATCTAATTTTTGCCAGTCATTCAATAGTACAAAGGACTTACCTCTCTTTCTATACTATAGCAAGCATTTTTCTACAAGAATCCTTATTGCAGTACTATTTATTAAAAAATAGATTTAAAACACCAATGTATAATTTTCTATTTTTACTACATTTAAATAGAAATAAATATTGGATTGTAATCGTGTAGCATGACATGAATGTATATTTGTATAAGATGAAATACGCTTCTGTTTTTCTATTTTCCTTGATGCTTTTATAAAAATTAAAAACATAGTACATTAATATTTACATTAATTACAGAATAAATGAACCGTATGAGGTCAACTAACACAGTCATAAATTATCATGTAATATGGTAATCAGCCTTTTTTTTATCCTCGCAATACTTGTGTCTGCAATATGTTTTGGAATTGAACTTCCAGAGAACTAAATCTTTTTGCAGTGACTTTTGCCATATTGAATGAGAAAACATTGAGGAAGCTCCTGTCTCCATATTCTGTGGCTAATGATAAAAGTTGCCAGTTTTATTTTAGAAAATAAAGTAAAGCTATTTTTTCCTTGAAATCAGAAAACAAGATCAATATTAAGAAAAACAGAAGGCATAGAGGAGAAAGTTCTTTTAGCTAGGACCAGGAATTTTCAGCTGCTCAAACAAGCAACTTTGTTCTCCAGATCACCTTTTACGTACTCATATTTTTCAAGGGGAGAAATTATAGACAGTCATCATTTAGCAACACAATTGAGACCAGAATTACTTGGTCATTAAGTGAGACAGTTTCTGAGTGAATCTTAATTGGGTGTACAATCTTACTTCAATGTTTATGTGTTTTAAAGACCTGTAAAGATCATAAATGCAAGAATTGGTTGCAAAGTTACTTTCTGATCATCATCGTAACTGTGAACAATCATTAAATAAGGACTACCTATATTGCTTTTCTTCTCAGGTAGTTTGTGTGGGGCCCTTATATATGTATAATAATTTTCATGTATATGGAATATCATAGCTATACTTTTTTAAAAAAACAGGAACCATAAAATAAGTGAAAATTGGCAGAATTTGATACAATATACAAAGACATGGTAGCAATAATTGGTTCCCAGAGATGTTTGAGAACATTTCTCTATCTGATATAAACCCCAGAATCTTAATGACTTTAATGTATTTATCACAATCCTATAAACATTTATGGAATGGATACACAATAGCCTGAATATACTCTGATCAGATTTAGATGGCCGGACCTTCATTTCTCTGACAGGAAAAAGCCTACAAGCTCTTTGTATAGAATATTCATTCTTTGGAGAACCTCAATTTAGAGAAAGAAAAATAACCTTGTTTTAACCTTGTTTTCTAGTTATCTGAGTAGATATTCTATTTTTACAGATTGTGTTCTGATCTGTGTTTTTGTATGTATGAATTCACTGATTTATAGAAGGGATTAGAAACCTGTAATGGTCATCACTAAAGAAATGGAAGGATAGTGTCCATTTTTTCTCTTTTTAAATGATAGCTTCTTTAAAATAGTTTTTGATAAAGGCTGCAAAGTAAAGTGGGAATTAGTAAAAATCATCCTTTCTTCCTGTAAGGGAGCCCAGTAAGCATAAATGTTGTCATGAATTATCTAATTTATCTAATTTAATCTATTGCTTCAGAAGCTAAATTCAACTACTGTAGCTACCACATATAATGAATCAATTGTTTTTTCATATAAAAGTTTTTATTTTTAAACAATCATAAAACAAACAAAGATAGACACACACAAAGTATAAAAACCATCCTCGAATTTCCTACAGTGTGTCAATTAGTTACCAAGCTTTTGTGCCTCCTCACAATTGTCTTCACTTGCAATTTACATAAAGTCTCATATCTTCAATCTAATATATATGTATACAATTATTATTATTAAACATTCATTGACTATAGCTATTATTACATCCTTTTTATGTGAAATATTCTAAATTTAAAATAAATTTATATTATGGCATTTCATTACATCATCCTGAAATCATCCAGTAATATTACATCTTTATATTCTATTCTATATAGAATTATTTATCTTTTATAACAAAGCTTTTCAACATCATCTCCATAGTCTTCACTTACAATTTATGTAAAATTTTATATTATCAATCTAATGTGTGTATGTGTGTATATATGTATGTGTGTGTGTATGCATTATCATCATTGTTAATCATTTATTTGACTATAAACTGTTATTACTTTGTCTTATACATAATACTAAAAATTTAATTAAGTTTAACTTAATTTTTATTATGGCATTTCATTTCATCATCCTGTATCCTTCTAGTAGTAATGCAGTCCTTTATCTCTTGCCATTTGTAGAATTTGTATCCTAAGTGTTTTCTTGAAAAGTTTTATGTGGACTTCTCTTGGCAACTTGTTCATTGCATATCTTGTAAAGACTTGAAACCCTCCATCTGTTCCTTCCATCAACTTGCCTCTAGTTATCATGGTGCTTCTGTAAAAATAGTTCTCATTATTTCTGCCAGATTGTCTCCCTTTTCTTCTTCCATATTTTGAAGTCTGAGATAGAGTTCCAGTTCGTCAAAATCTCCTTTTGATATTCCATTCCTATCATTTCCCTCCACATTCGATTTACTGTCAATGTCAACAATTTTCTTATCACTTTGTTCATATTTTCCTTCAATTTTTTGAACTCTATCCTCAAATTTCATCATAGTTTTGAAAATATTCTCAAATCTTCCCTCCATTCTTTCTGTTCTTTGTTCTATAATCTCAAATCTCTTTTCAATGTTTTCTGTACTTATTTGTAGTTTTTGAATTTCTATTATAATTATTTGCAATGTTAATTCCTTTTCTTCTTCATGTTGCACAATTTTTCCAGGTTGTAAACACTGCCACTAAGACATCCAAGGTTTTTTGCTAGGTTTCAAACAGATTCACTGTAATCTTTCAAGTCAAGGCTTTCTCTTTACCCCAGTACAGCTACTGATAGTACTCCAGAAGAGTATCTGCATAAACAAACTGTGCTCTTCCCACTGTCTCATTCAATAAACAAAGTCTTGAGATATAAGATGTTTCCAAGTCTCCATCCTCGAGGAGGGAGTGCTACTTCTTTTTCTTCAGTTTTTACCCCTCTCTTTAAGCTCCAAAATTGAGAAAAGAAAAAAAAAATGCTTAAAAGGTACAATCCAGCCAAGCATTGAAAAGAAAGAGATTCTTGATCCACAATACAAAAAATGGGGAAAAATAAAAGAAGGGGGGGGGAAGACCACTTTTGGGGTGTTCTCTTCTCTAACATTAAAATTTATCTCACCATTTCGACACACTCTCTCCTGCTTTTCTTCTGTTCAGGGGCTGCCCCAAACTTGTGCAGCTTCAATGGCTGCTTCTCTTTCCCTGGAAAAAAGGGCTTTTCCGGGATCAATCAGGGACTTTGCGATGTCCCTGAGATCAGCAGGACGTGCCCTTCTCTAACCATCTCTATGGGACAGTTTAGGTCCAAAAGGACTGTCCAGCAGCAGAGATATCAACAACAATCCTGGAGCTACAAGATTGCATGTCATGTCATTGTGATGTCAAGCTCACCTTTCGAATCAATTGTTGATCATTTGTCATTTGTAATAGTTGCATGGAATAAGAGACTGATTCAAGGAATATTCAAAATAAAACTGATTTTGATTTTTTGCTGAAACTTAAATAAAGGAACTGGTATTTTATGGGTTTAATGATTAGAAAGAGTAAAATATAAAAATGAGTAGCTTCCAACCTTCTTTATAAACGTTTCAAATAAATTTATCATTTGTGTTCCCTTAAAGAGTTTGGAAGCTACTTCTTTTTACTTTTTACGTTTTGTTTTTCTCTTTCTTTTCCCCCCTCTACTGTATTCTATTCATCCCTTTTCTTTATGCTTTACTTTTTTTCTAAAATCACTAAATGCATTCTTTTCATTTCAGGTCCACAGATTATGGTACAACATATGAAAAGCTAAATGACAAGGTGGGACTAAAGACTGTGCTGAGTTATCTTTACGTCAGTCCTACTAATAAGAGAAAGGTAAGGAAGCTATTTCTCAACAAGAAACAAAGTGAAAAATAAAAAAAAGTTTCATTCACATATTTGACAGTTCCAAATCTAAATCAAGTTTAAGTTGAATATTTTTTTAAAAAAATATAACTTTCTGTAGTTAGCATGCTATTTTCTATTTAATAGCTACATACTATTTAATCTCTAAATTTCAGTTCTTATATCTGGGAATGAGCCTCCAAACCTTCATAGATGTTTCTTCATGTAAACATGTAAACACACACCGAATTGGTATAAGATTGCATACAAATCTAGAAAGTAGATTGAATCTTCATCCAAGGGAACAATGATTTCCATACTAGTTTCCTTTTTCTAATGTATTAGAAGAATCTTTTGTTATTAATCTTCATAGTTCCCAGATCACAATATGATCCCCAGATTTCTTTATGCATCCCTCACTGTTACTTTTCTTTTAGAAGATTTTATGCTTCTTCTTGTTGTTTTAATTATGGCAGGTCTTCCACTTTGTAAATTATCCTTTCTCAACTCTAAAAACTTTATTCCTCATGCAACTTCCCCGCATAGTTTATTTATTCCAAATGCTTTATAGAAATGCTAAAATTAGCTTCATTATGCCAATATGCTGCTTAGTTTTAGGCTATGAAGTTAGTTTAGCAATTAATTCTGAACTTCTAATTCAAAATAACCTTATGAGCATATAATTAGATGTTAATGTAGTTATATATGTTTTAATAATGCTTGTCTTTTTAATAGTAACTTTATTAAGAATTATAATTAAAACAGTAAAAACTAATGCAAATTGAAAAGAACTAAAATAAATTAGAAATGATAGATGTAGAAAAGAAACAAAAGGAAAATAGAATGAGAAATAGAAAAGAAAGAAAAAATAAGAATTCAGTGAAGAAAACTGAAATAAATATATAAAGAAGTGACTTCCAATCTTTATCGCATATCACCTTTTTGCATATCACCTTTTATTAAAATACAATAAGTAAAATCTTCTTCTTGTCCAGAAGAACCAGTCTATTTGCTGGATCTTCATTCCACCACAGTTAGTTGTTGTTTCTGCTTTCCATGGAGCCATTTTCAGTTTGCCATTTCTTCCCTGGAAGTCAATAATACTCATCTTAACTGAAGGAGTTTTTAGTGAGAAAACCAAGAATGGAAAAAGAATGTATGATCTGTAACCACTCAGAGAGTGTTTTAAAGCACTGTGAAATATATAAATCTAAGTGCTATTGCTATTGCTATGTTGTCTCAATTTGAGGGCCTAACTTGAATAGAAACGGGTCACGTTGCTTGGGTAAAACTCAGTATTTATTGTAGCTAGAGGCATACAGGCTTGAATTGGCACAAATTGACTAGTATTGTCCTTCTTAGAATAGAATGCAGCTTATTGATATAGGTTCAACTCATATTGGTAATCTAGCCTTCTCTAAAATTGTTGTGCCAAAGCTACAAATAGCAGAAAAGTCAATATCTAGATGCCTGTCTGTTAATGAATTATGGTATACAGAAGATTACAACTTGAGTTACACCAGAAGTAAATGGTAAACAGATTAAATTAAATTATGAAATTAATTGAAGAAAAATAAATGTAGTGTGTATTCAAGAGACTATGAAAAAAAAGAAAGGAGGTTTACATATGATTAAAAATGGCCTAATTTCATTGATTCAGTTAATGAAGAAAAGCATAGAAGTGAAAAAACAACCAGTAGTGGAAATGGCAACTGGGTCTCTGAACTGATGGGACTGCATGCTCGCCCCCCCCCCCCCAACCAGTTCTCCAGTTGCTGCAACAACTTTTTTTTACCTGTTAAAATGTTCTTTGCAGGTGCAGACCTATTCATAGGCTACTACGCACAAAATCGCACACGCACCAAACCAGCAGTAATGCTGGCAGAAACCTGGAGCTTTTTAAAATTGCTGCTTCTTTTCTTTTAATAACTCATATAGGAATGCTTGAGTTTTTCTAATATCATATGAATGATTAGGCATTCTAGCTTTGGAGATAAGAATATAATTCTCCCAAAGCTTTTTTCGTCTTCTATGCTGTTCATTAAAACGGGGTTGAACAAATCACTGTTTTGAAAGCCTGTTTTTGGGATGATAGCCAATTGGATCTACCTGTGTCAGTGCAAGAATCATGGTGAAGGTGAAGATAGAGAAGCATGTCTATCTCGAAATAACCAAACAATCTAGTAAGGTTTCAGAATATATGTGAAACTATATATTTGTCTTCATTGAACTGAAGCTGAATAAGTAGAGAAAAAATGGAAAGAAATAAGAATTGAGAGTTTCAATTTTGTCCCTTTATATTTTCAGATAATTGGATTTGCTTACATGAATGGTTGAGTTTTATCTTTTAGATTTGATTCACAATATTAGTTATTCATAACTGTCTTTATAAAAAACAAAGATTCAAAAAGTAAATATTCTAAGGATTAAAGTCAATTATTTTTCAGATTCATCTCTTTGAGTTGCCTTCATGAGTTTAATTTTATAATGTTCCATATAAAGTATCAATCATAATAGTAACTGACTATTTTACTAATTAAACTAATCCCTTGAAGCACTTGCAGGAATGATTTTAGCAAGCAATTGCTATGATCAAAAGGGTATAAACTGAAAATATGTTTTTTTTCTCTGAGAATGAATATATTTCAACTACAGCATTTACAGTATAATTATCTTGCTTTCTATATCCTTTATTCTATTTCTGGATAAAACTTAAAGTCACATGCATTCTAATTTAGGTTATTAAAGAATATAATGTGAAATCCCAGCACCCAGATTTTTGAAACTTGTCTTGCCTTTGGGATATGCAATTTGTACATTTTATCCTATTTTGATTAAAAACAAAAGTTACATGTGGTGGTATTGTAAGTATTGTATTGTATTGTATTGTGTTGTATTTTATTATTTGTATGCCGTCCTTCTCCGGGAGGACTCAGGGCGGCGAACAATTCAAGGGGGGAAAAAAGGGGGAACATAAAAGACAAAATACAAATAATAAAATACAACACAATACAATACAATACAATACA